GGGGGGGGGGGGGAGCTGCCAGGAGTGGGAGTGGAGGACAGGAGAGAGGAAGGAGTGAAACACTTAGAAGAGACGGATGCAAGAAGCAGTGTTAGCAATTTATTGCAATGGATATGGTCCATGGACCCGAAGCACCCTCTACCAATCAGCCCACACCCTCCCACTCCGGGGCCGCAGGGGTCTGCTGCAGGGGTCTACTACACAGGCACGCAGTGGTGCTTCAGAAGGCTGGAGGAGTTCTCCCAGGGAACCACTAGGATCTCAAAGTCGCAGCGCAGCTTCTGCAGACAGAGTGGGAAGGAGGGGTGAGCCTGGGCCCAGGCCGGCCTCCTCCCAGCAGTCAGCGCTGGCCCACAACAAGGGGTAGTCACTGGCCCAACGGACAAGAAGACTAGATCCCAGATCTTTCTAGCCAACACTGTCACTCCAGGGGGAAGCCCCAGTCTCTTCTCTGCACCCCACCCTGACCTGGCACTGAGTCACCCAGAAGGTAGGGCTGTGTTCAGCCTGACATCAGTCTGGCCAGCCAGACCAGTTCAAGGTGGACAACCCAAGGCCCTCGGGTGTGGGGGACAGGATGGGGTGTGTGTAGGTGCAGGGCTATTACCTCCTCCTGTGCTCCTGCGGCCAGGGGGCAGGTGGTGAGGTCCATGCGGTCTCCAGTTACTGCATTCTTCCTGCAGGCTGTGCTCCCCATCTCCACGGTCAGGTAGTACTTAATGCCAGCCACCATCTGGGACAGAGAGCAGGGGCAGGTCAGGGGAGCTGGGACACTACCCCTGACCCAGACCCCTCACCTCTCCTCACAGCCTCCCATCTCCCATCCCCTTCCCCTGGGCACCACACTGGACTTGGGATTCAGACCTGGGACAGGCCCATTCTGGGGAGAATCGCCGAGGGGGAGGGGCAGAGGCCTGGGCCAGGCAGGAGGCTGAGCCCAGGGCGCCTGAAGCCCACTGCCTCATCTCCCCACCTCCCTCCCCAATTAACCGGGCAGGGCAGCGACTAGTGTGAGGCTAGTGAGGCAGCTGTGCAAGGTGAGGGTTAGATCCTATTTGAAATTTAGATATTTTGTTCATTGTGAATTTCGGGCATTAGTTCGATTTGTTAAAACACCCCGATCACTCCTGGCGGCCCGCCCCCCGCGCCCCGCGCCCCGCGCCGCCGCACCTGGCTCTGCGCCCTGAGGATGCGCGTGTCTCGGAAGTAGTAGAGGCTGTTGCTGCCCATGTTGTAGCTGGCCACGGCCGCCTGCGCCGCCTTCTGCACCTGGGGGTCGCTGGGGTGCAGCTCCCGCCGTCCTCCCACCAGGGTCT